GTGAATATATAAATTTATTCAAATGCAGTAATCTGTTAAAGTAAAATTTTCAGCTGCTCATGGAAGGTATGAAGCCTTCGGCATAGCCTAAGACAGCGCTGCTCTTACTTGTTTTTTCTTATATACTCAAATTATTGTAGAGTGCACCCCGTAATACTATACTTAAATATTTCGCAATACTCATTGTAATTTTTTTCAATTTTTTTTTTTTGAGATGGCATCTTTTCGAAAACTATTTTTTTTTTTTGTCAAAAAATTTTAAGTGAAACATTGTTCAAGAAAAAAAAAAATTTTTAATATTTCTCTTCATAGAGAATTTTGATGCGTGTATGTGTGGTTTTCTTCAAATTTTCTCCTCGCCCCCTTCACGAGATATTTGGAAAACTATTAAATCGATTTGTTTTTGAGCATGCTTTGAAGTGCCTTCAGCCTATTAGAGTTTTCTCCAGTTTTCCTATACTGGTTGGCAACTCTAAACATCGCATTAGCTTCTTTTCGTGTTTCATTGTTTTCTAAACAAAATAAGCACGCACGCACTTTTCAACCATCATGGCATACGGAAGACTAATATCGGAGAATTGGTCCAGTCAACGGCTGTCTGCCCGCCTGCCTGCCTAGTCCATTGGGCAAAACAAAAATCGAGCGAACCGCAATGCAAAGAAATTTGAATCATAAAATCCTTCTGCAGCATGAACGTGACTGAACTTTTTAACGTTCAATTGGCCAAGAATTCTAAGCAGAAGGTGACAGCGGCAATACAATGCTGCAACGTTAAAGACGGGAGTGTGTATGTAAAACATTAAAACCTCTTTAGGGAGGATGAGAACGCAATTGTAGAAAGACATCGAGTGGGAACACAGTTGCCACAAATGGCAAACAAATTTCCTGAATTTGATAAAGGCATACGCGCTGGGGGAGAGAGAGAGTGGGAGCGAGGAAAAATGAAATTGTACACATTTCACCTTTATTGTTTCTATAAAAATAAGCACGAATATAATAAGCACAAGCGAAGGTGCAATGATATTTAGGCAAATAAAATTTTAAATTACAATTTCTTTCTTGGCAAACAGGACATCATTTTTACGTTCAAATGCAGGCAATGAAGGAATATTGCGCGCAATTTTATTTTTTTTTTTGTTTTTTGTAATAAATATTCTACTTTGTATGTATGCTGCATTGTTGGTAACACATCATGTCATTTCTGCTCAATCTTTTGTTTTTTTTTCGTAAATACATTACTTTGTTGCCTGTGGTTTTTTGTATGAATTTCATAGGTCGAGATGAAGTTGAATAAATAAACTTAATTTTCCTGAATATCATTATAAAGTATGCAAGTGGGCCCATAAACACACACATATTTGAGTTCAAATATGTGTTCGAATTCACAATATATAGCAGCTGCTTTTAGTTATAGTCTCAGTTTGTCTGAGGCCACAATACAAATGAAGTAAATGAAAGCCAAAGAGAGTTTTGTCCGAGATACTGCCCAGTAAATATATGCGATAAAGTGATCAAAAGTTTAGAATGATAAACGTTTAAAAGAATTCACGAGATGTCAAGTTGAACGATGTAGTAAAAAAGAAAATAAATTGTATCACCAAAAATTATAACTTTTATTTAAAAAAAAAAACTTGCTTATTATCCCGAAGTTCCAGAACATGGTGAATGTGTCTAATTTCATTGAATCAGTTCTTTTACAAAAAAAACTTTATCATATACCAACACTGTGTGTAAAGACGAAGGATATTCCATTTGGGAAGTGTTCTTTTACATAAAGTGAATTCGATTTTTTAAATTGGTGGCATGCTCTTCTTTCCTTTGACATCCATATTGTAGTATTTCATTATATTGAAGTTATAGTTTAAACCGGTGGCAACTCTCTTCAAAATAAAGCACTTTTAATAAAGCACTTTGTAATTTAATTTTGGTTACTTATTTTATAAAAATATAGTTCATTCATCAGCAAACCCCGTGTAAATCCAAGATTCCAAATTTGTGCAATATTAAAAAAAATCAACACACTTTCGTACAAATTTCGAGCTATTTAAAAATTCTAAAAAATCAATCTTAATTTTTAGCCATTTGAAACTTGTACTTTATTCTACTAGAATTCAATGGGCTACAAAACTGCATACTCAGAATCTATTAAAAAAAACACGAAACTTTTACGAAAATTTGTTGAATTTTTTTTTAATTGCATAAAATTTTAGGGCAGTGACACTCGATTGTTACATTTGTACAGATTAATACATTTTTATATCGTCACCTGAAATGCCATAAGTCGTAACTTATAAAAAATTTAAAATTCACTTTTTGATTGATATGATGGATTTCATCGTTTTATAAAAAAAAATTATTAGTCACGACTTTTTCCATTTCAGTGACGATGTTGCTACCTCTTTTTGTATTTCAGGTGACGATATGTATCTACGAAGGATGAAACTTTAAAAAAAAAACTTGTATCTCAAAATATGTATGCATTTATATGTACATTAGACTGTATCACTCCCCACACAAAAAAAAATCGGTACTGTGTTTCCATTGTGTTTCCAATCATCAAATCTATTATATTTTAATACTATTTCGGAAAAATATTAAGATTTACGTGAGCTGGACCGATTTGAAAATACCTCCAAAAATTTAGTTTCTTATGAATAAAACCTCCATTTTTGCTTAAATCTTAATATCTTTCCGGAAAATTTCGGCGGACGTCTTAAAATATAATAGATTTTATAATTCCAATGGAAAAACAGTGATGCAGTCTAATATATAGTGAACATTTGGAAAAAAAATAGCGCGATTTATTTTTACTTTTTTTTGGTATATGTTATTTAAGTTTTCATTTAAATACAATTTCGCAATCAAATCTTAATCTGTATGAACGACAGAAGATAATGTACATTTTCGCATAAAAATAGGAGTTTCAAGTTAAATAAAGTAATTAGCGTAAATGTGGCAAACAATAATTAATACATATTTTCCACTACTTTAGTGTGGCAATGGCGCTGAAGCATCGCATGATCTTTCTAACATTTAACAAATTACATTAAAAGTTACCGTAACCAACTTTCATTTTGCATCGGCAACAACTCTTTAAAACAACAACAATAAAATCAGCATTCTAACTGCAAGAATGCACAACACGGATGATGCAACACTGCTTGCTTGCTGCGTTAACGCCACATCGTATTACGCGTACAGTATGTACTCGAATAACCACAGCCACAGTCACTCAGCTTCAACTACTAGTTTACACGTAATTAAATTTTGTAATCTGCTCTGTGAGTGCCATTGTTGTAACTGTTGTTCGTGTGTTTGTGGCATTTATTTCTATGCATAGTTTTTGTCATAATCCATTACCAACACTGCTGTACATATGTATGTATGTATGTGTGTTGATAAGTTTTGCAAAACAAAAAAAGTTTAAAGCCAATTAAAAAATAGCGCGAATAACTATATATTAAACGCCTGAAACGCGTCTAAATGTCCAGCTAAAATTAATGGCATGTAATTAGGCAATTTAGCATTTAACCAGGAATTAGTGGCATAAATCGTGGATAGGAAAATATCCGTGTGTATGTATGTATGTATATGGAGCATTCCAGTCCAATTCGGACACCATTTGGAGATTTGTAACTGACCATAGCTTTACGCAAAAAGCGGCCTATTGGGAACCCTTTTTGAAGTTTTTCATTTCCAATGCACTTGGATTATAAAATCGAAAAAAAAATTTCAAACCCGTATTTCTATAAAATTTTCAAATTTCAATATAAAATGTTGATTTCCAAAAATCGAGTACTGATAGATTTTCTTGAAAATTTCACTCATTCCATAGCTTTTAAGCATAGTCACTGCTTCCAATTTAATAATAAAAAAAGGGATAATTTCTAAACATAACATAAACATTTGCGTAAACAATTGTTTTCATTTTCCTTAAAATTCGATCAAACGTACATGGCGTACGAGTAGCATTAAATACTTCCTGTTCATATTTCATACCAAAAATTTCTGAATTAAACGAATACGAGAAAGACACAATTTGTAAGTTTTTAGTTAATTAAAAAAAAAAAAAACTGAAAAATAGATTCTATTACATTGTAAGGAGTTTGGAAATGACACAAAAAAACCGCCATAACACGTGAACTTAAGATTGGTTCCTCGATCACCGATCTATATTACCAGGTCAAGCAATTTTAACAAGGAAAAAATTAAAAAAAAATAACAAATATTTATATTAATATATAATATTTTATTTATCTTTAAATTTGTATTAACGCCTCTTCTTTTGCCTAAAAATCAATATATATATGAAAATATGCAATAATTTTTTGTTTGAAATAAGGCCAAGAAATATGTAATGTTACTCATACGCCACATCATACATGACCGTATTTGTACATACTCGTACATGGCGTATGAGTAACATTTTCGATGTCATTCACAATGCAAACTTATAATGAAAATATCCTGGGAAAATTACCTGATTTAGAAAAACGGTGTACAGATCCGTAATCTACGATCTGTATCAAAATTAAATTTATGTACGTTTTTTTGGCGTTTTTTGTGTCATTTTAAGTTTTTTAAGAAGAAATTTTCAAGAAAGTAGTGGTTTTTGGAAAATTTAAAACATTTGCGGAAATTTTATGGAAATGCGGTTTTAAAAATATTTTCGATTTTATGTTCTTAAAGGAACTTTTCTTCAAAAATCGATATCTCGAAAAAATTAAAAAAAAAAATCCGGGAGACCTCTCTGAATTGGTACTATAATATAAAAAATTATGAAAAAATCGCAGATCCGAAGCCAAATGGTGTTCTCATTGGGCTGGAGTGCCCCATATGCATATTGTACATATGTATGTACGTATGTATGTAAAGGTTGCTGACTTCACGCATAAATTATTTTGAATAAAAGGCAGCACCAAATAATTAATTCAAGTACTGCATGATTTGCTTAAGTTTAAATAAGCATGTGTTGAAAATATATTTTACGCTCAACTTACCTTAATTGAGCATCCACAATTGACTTAGAACTGCATGACAGCGCGTTTGTAGGCTTATTGTTTTTCTTTTATTCTTTCTATGTCTTTTTACGCTTCAATTATGTATGTATGCTCGACATTTGTATGGACATATACACAAATGAATTTTTATGAATTTTACATATATGTATTTAACACAGATGTATTAGCATAAATTATTATTTTTTACTTAACACAATAAAAACTTTATTTTACACAATTTTGAATTTTTTCGCACTTTTCTATGTTTTGCACAACTTTTACGCACACACAAATATTTCTTATTTATACATTTTTTTAACGTTTTTTTTTTTAAGTTTTAATTTTTAACAACGACCACCGTAATGGTTAGCATACTCACACATTCATATACATATGCAATTAGCGCATAAAAGCTGTTATGCAGCCCCCATTAAAATACAATTGCGCCTGTGTGTATGCTAAGATTTCGGTAACACTAACTATGCTGCAGCAAGCATGTGCAACAAACTGTATTTTTGTATGCTAGATATTACACAGCACCTCATTGCTTATTCATTTTTCGCTTTCACTACACTTGACTTGAGTTGGCGTGAATTTCGATTTTCGTTGACCTTGATTTGAGTTTTCGAATTGTATGCGGTGATTTTATTTTTCAACCGCGAACGCGCAAATCTTTGTTCTCTTTTCTTTGTCCTTTGTACATAGTTATATACATATGTATGTGCATCTATATTTTTTTCACTCACGTTTTTCGCTTATTTCAAACGCTATTGTACTCGCAAGCACAAACAAAGCACGGATTTTCAATGTAGCTCACACACATATTCTGATATTGTACGTATAAAAAAATGTGCTTTCTAATGTCACCCGGTACGACGTAGGCGCAATGCAGTTGGCGGCAAAAATTGTCACTTTCTGTTGCTGCATTCACATGCCTACACGCATGCATACATATGTAGTATTTGTATGCATATGATGCACATATGTACATACCGATACGTAGTAGTCTATTTCAAGGCGCTCAACGTTTTCGTTAGGCTATTTCTAGGAGCGACGCGTAGTTTTGCAAAGCAATGAACTGTCCTTTTATGCGTGATCTTGCTTTTGCTGTTTGCTAAGCTATGTGCCAATATGTTGGAACCCACGTATAATTTTACTTATGTAAATACATACATATGTATATGTACATATGTGTATACAAACGTTGCTAACACTTGTGGGTAGCTAAACTTTCGTCAGTATAATTCGTGTGGCCGGCAGTTGTACGCGTCTTATCGTCACATCGGGTAGTTTGCATATCAAACTCGCACACATACATACATATTTGCAATTATCACTTTATGTTTGTAAGTTAATGTGTATGTAGTTATTTAATAATGCACGAGCATCGCTCAGAAACGCCGCCTGCACTGGTCGCGTGTCAATCGAATCGATGCCACCCAATGCCTACACAACAGCATCTTCACCTTCACCACCACCACCAACACTCGCGTGCGCTAAACTTTTTTCATTTGCCGCTCCAAGTGGAGAAAATCTGCACGCTTCGTTTATTCCCTTCTGTGTTACCACACAAGATTCGCTTCCAGCGCTCGGCGGCGACTGGCTGCTGCAAATGCTGTTGCTGCTACGTTTAGCTTTTTATTTAATGTGTTTTACTTTAGATTTTCACTCACTTTTTCTTTTGCATTCGCTTTGCGCTGGTTTTCACGTTGCTTTTTCCCTGCTCTCTTTGGTGTGTATTTTAAGTTTTGGAGATTGGATGCTGTCCGCTTTTGCTGATTCTTCTTCCCTTTTTCTTCTGCTCCTGCTGATTGCTTGCGGTAGCTCTGTTGGTCGGTGTTTTGGTTTGGACTTTTCCCAGTAATGTTTTTGGTACTCTCTTTGCGTTTTTTTTTACACTTCTCACTTGCTAATTTTTGTACTTTTTATGTTGTAGAATTTTCTTATTGTTGCTTTTGAAAAGAGCTTAATGTTGATTTTAAGTGAATTTTATAAAAACACTTTAATTTCAACAATTTTTATAATTGTTTGAATTCTAATCATCTCTGGTTTTATCGATATCAGTAGTTGTCGCACACCTTTCTCCATCACCGCAATTTAACACTTAGCACTTCGGCAGCAAACGATGCTTATAGATATGGACATAGTTACTTATGTATGTATGCATTTGTGGATGTATGTTTGCACATATTTATGTATGTATGTATGTTGGTCTATTCATTTATGTTCACGAGTTTTCATAGTTGTCTTTTTTTGTTTTTGCTTTCGTTTTCATTGCTGTACATATGTATGTATGTGTATGTATGTATATACTATCCAAATATATTTGTAAGTAGTTGTGCGTATGCGATTTTATATTCCGGTAGGCGAAATTCCTATGTCGTCACACGCATATCGACTTCAGCAATTTTCCAACTCATCAACACATGTAGTGGCATTCGTGTACCCTTACCGAATCAAAGTACGAGTTTAATGTCATTATTTTTTTACCAAACTAGGTAATTAGCGCATATATAAAATTTCCAGAATTACATACATAAAAATTTAATGGTTATAAAATTAATTTTCCACTCACATTTATTCTTCGACTCAAAGCCACCAATCTGTGCTCGTGATTTCAACGTCCAACAATATGCTTCATAATTTGGTTAATAAGACAAACGAGTACCGTAAATGTGATGAAAGCAAGAACGTTGTAGGTAATATCAGATATTAGCTCCGCACACTCATTAGATATTTTTGTTTGTGGTTATCTCTTATTACTTTCAACAAGCATAAGTACTTTTGTAAACTTTAAACATAACTATAAAAATTGTTAATTATTCACTCGGTCACATCTGTCTACTCTATATACATAAGTGCATATATATATGTATGTAGTGACAAGTTCGCAGTCGTACTCAGTGTTTGCTTTAAAACGGGATTCGGCTTAAAGTTTCTTTGTTTTCACTTATTTAACCGAATGGATTTTTCTCATAATATATACATACATATGTACATATGTATGTACCGATTTTTTTTTGCACAATCTATTCAATACGTTTCCTAATACATATGGTTCTAATTGCTTTTCTGTATTAATATTAAATACAAGTACATATTTTTGCCTATGACTTTGGACCTCTGCCAGCGTCAAGTGAGTTTGCCCATGCACAGAGACCATAATTATGTGCACACAATGTGATTGCTTAATTTTTCAGTACAAATGTGTACATAGGTAAAAAGTGACCAAGTGCATATTGCTGCCATTTTTCATATTAAATACCATTTTACCACTTGCACATCCTCGTTTATTTAATCGCCCGTTAGTTGAGTCAAAAACCCGATATTCCATTAGCATAGCACACATTTTACGTCACCGGAGTTCTATGCGCTTGTTTAATACATACATACATACATAAGTATGTAAAATTGAACGCTGTTTCTACAATGTACTATTTTATTTTATTTTGTAATTACTTTTTTCTTTAGTTTTTCTTTTCTTTTTTTTTTTGCTATTGATCACCCGTGGCAAAAGTATAAGCAACACTTCACTACACCATATTTTCACGTTTTTAGTAGCGCTCGCTAGGCCATACAAGCTCTGACTACTGAATGGGGCACATATCTTCGCCAGCGAATTGTCATCGTCATTGCGCTGTTCTCTTTTACTTGCTGGATGGATGCTTGGAGACTCTAAATCAGGCAAGAATCTCGGAAACATACGATGGAATGTGTAGTGTATATTTACATACGTCTGTGTACGTATAGACGTTAGTTCTATGAATTATAATACCACCCATAGTCATCAATCGAGTCCTTTGTCCATTATTCATTCAATTGACAAGCACAAATATTTAACGGGCCTACAGCAGTTCACAGTCACAACCTAGCAAGCAACTCACATTCCGCACAACACATCCGGCGCAAAGCAAAGCACAACGCGAAATCATCTGTGTCCACACGCACAATACGTTGGAGCTTGGCATTTAAGTTGACAGTGGTCCATGCACATGGCGCAGCCTCTCCAAAAGTGAGTGTCAAATGGGGAGACGAAGAGCGTATATACGGAGATTTCATTTCCAATGCACCTTCCAGACCCTTTTTCACATTATCCTTGCGCTGGCATGCCATAGGAGAATTAGTGAAATGGCAAGTGATGCGATGACATTTAGTCGGCACGCAACGAATTGGCACAGAAGCTGAATGAAGCTGCTAGAAAATACTAAATTGATTATTGAGGGCATTACCGGAAATGACGCTTTACATATTTTAAGGCAAAATCCATTTGGAACAAGCAGTACAACTTTGCAGAAATATTTCAATATAACACGATTTGTTTATATTTTTTACACACACAAATAATATTTACTGATTTATTTTATTTTATGAAATAGATTAAGTTTCAGCTCTTTTTACGATAAATTGCAGGAAACGGAACCGCCATGCCAAAACTGCAGATGCGGAATATAAGAAGCGGATACACTGCGTACTGAGTGAAATCGAAAATATATTTATTCCATAACGATGAACAATTTGTTACACGATATTAGATTGATATGTAGAAATTGATTACTTATACAAAACATTATGCGGTTAGATTCTCTTCTTTTTAATTCTTATTACACAAACAAGTGCAAGCAAAGGCAAATCCGCGGAAGTGAACAATAAAGCGGCAAACTAAGTGCTGGCAATGACATCAAGTTTAGTGTTGCCACCATACGTGAGTAGTGTTGTGCCAATTACAAAACTTAACGAAACACCATGAAATGCGTTTCACACAACTCGAACAGTTAAAAATAAAATCGTGTAAATATGTATGTATGTAAGTATGTATGTAAATTAATCAAGAACGCAAACTTTTATTGCATTTTCTATTTTTTATTTATTTATTTTATTAACGGAGTAGGAAAAACCTCTGATTCCGCAAACAAACAGTATCTTCATTGCGAGTACCGCTATAATCTCAAAATTTTTTATTTTTATAATTACAGGCTCTTTTTTATTCCAGAGAAATTATTGCTATGATTACTGCTTGATGTTTATGTTTTTATCAAAGACGATTATGTCTGACTTTAATTTATTCACTATTTTTTCCTGATCATGATCACATATTAAACTCTGAATGGCTGACGGAATTTTCATAGAGAGAAATATCATATCAAAATTTTTCACAAAAAATAAGTTGTTTGATGGTTCATAAATTG